TGCTCGGCCAGAGTCCCCAAGCGTACCTAGAGAGTGTTCATCAGAGGATTGGCTGAGGCGGGAGTGAGGTCGGCCCCTGGAGGTGAGGTCTAAGCAGCTTTGGCTGGTCAGAGGCTCTCTTGGACTCAACCTAGGTGATGTTAGGCCACTGTTGCCATACCTCAGAAGTCTACTATTGGAATCTTGACTAACTTTTCCTTTATCACCCTCCTGGTTGTCCAAACTCAAGTAGTGACCCAGCTTAGCATGTCTTCTTTCTGGTGAGGGGGACAGCTTCCTACCAGAGACCAGAGAACGTGACCTCCTCTGGTTCCTGGGAGAGTAGTGTTTCCCATTGCTATTCATCTTGTACGCCTGCTCCTTGCCTTCAATATCCATCTTTGGAAGTATGGTAGGGACAACCAGATATACATCCTCCCCCTGTTGCTGAAAGGAGGCAGATTCCATACTTTCATCTTGGGATGACTCATAGTCGGACTGTTGAAGCCAGGGACACGTGTTCCTCGAAGATACCTTTTGTTCCTCTTCTGATTCCAGATCACTCCGGGTAGAGAGGCTGATCTTTCTAACGACCCTGCCTGTTGGTGACGTCCACCCCTGTCCCAGGATGCCTTTCTCTCCTTCAGCACCTTGATCATTTTTGTCTTCACGTTGTATCTCCTGTGAATGTAGAGCACACATTTGCCCCTGTGGCCCACAACCTCCAACATGCAAGCACAGACTTTGTTCTTGCATACGGATATCTCCAAAGGTGACAGCGTTTGGTTGGGAGCTCGGCTTGAAGTTCACTTTCTTTAGGGAAAGAGAGATTTCCCAGGGTTGTAGAAACTCTGTGACCTCCTTCAGAAGCAGGTTCTGATTTTGCCCACTTTGATCCAGACCTGGCTGCTGACCGATTCCCTGCATTTGCTGCTGAAGTTGGGTTAGTTTGCGGAGCCTTTGTTCCAACAGGGACTGGCTTACTCGGACTGCTGCCATGTTCTCTCTCAGGACCTGCTCCAGGCGCTGCTGAGTGTCCCGATGGTCTTGCTCCACCCTCTCCAGCAGTCGCCGCTCCTCTCTGCGTGCTCCCAGGATAGCCCGCTCTACACTCCGCTTCACAGATTCAGTTTCAGTTGCATGACGCTCTTGAAGTCGACGCAGCTCCGCCTCTGCCTGGGAAAGGTCGCAACGTACCTGTGTCGCCCAACATGGAGGAGACTGAGGCAGGAAAGCAGGGGAAGAACTGTCTGACTGACAATCAGGACTGGGGCTGTGGGCTGGGTTCGGGGAGTTGGGGTCGCAACCCAAAGGAGTTCCCACAAACATAATCACGGACAGATGGATGGATCTTTACTTCCTTCTAGCATTCAGTTTGAGTTCCTGCAGACGAAGGGGAAGAAGAAAAAAAGGATAAATGAACACAATTGTTAACATATCAAATACTTTGTTTTTATGCTGTTGTTTAACACTCAGTTGTACCAATACAGAGATATTTTAACCAAAGTTATTTCTCCTCCGACAATTTGAATGACTGAGCCACATCGTCTCAATGAATCGCAGAACTTTCAGTTTTCTTACTGACTCACGACATCAGTGTTAGATGAACCTCAGCTTTAAGCACTGGTGTTACTTGGCAACACCGGCTCAGCACCCTTATAAAAGGAATTCAAACCTTAACATGACTCACGTCCGACAATTACTCAGTAAATAATGAATTAATTATAATTTTGAAGTCGGTAGAATGGTACAGTATTCTTATATTCGTCACAGACGTGTTTAATCAGCTGGTTAATGTGAAGTGAACTCATCTAGTCTAAAATTAATTCAGTGCTCTAGTGATTTTATTCTCTCTCTCTCTCTCTCTCTATATATATATATATATATACATATATATATATATATATATATATATATATGTATATATATGGTTTGCAGTAGCTTGAAATATCAGTTATTTCTATTGTTTTTAAAGTGTGAGGTCCTCAAATTACAGTCGCCAGCTGTGGGCCGATATATCAAGAGTGGCTCATTTGAATACTACAGTTAAATATCTTTGGTCTCATTTGAGGAACATTTTCAGACTGTATCTCGCGGTGTTGTAGTACAGGAGAAGTACAGTATGCAGTATTAATCTCAAGTGGCAGCGACATAAAATATGAAACATTTGAATACATCACAATAAAAAATACTTTGATCAGACTTTATTTCCTTCACGTGGAAATGTGTGACAGACACTTGAACAAAGAATGAAGCTTGATCAAACTCGACACGCTCGACTCGAGCCAGGCAAAGGTGATGGAGTTACAACATTTCTCTAACCAGATGGGTCTTTTATTAGAGCTACTGTTCCGCTGCCAAGTGAACAGATGCTTATGGAAAGGTGACAGAGCGATGAAGGAAGGTCACGAGAGGGACAAGTGTGTGGGCAGGACCAACCAGCACAGAGGAGGATGAAAGTTTTGGGTTTTGCACTGAGAGGCCATTAGCATTTCAAATGGTGGCGGACAGCCAGCAGCGTCCAGAGCGAAGGCTGGAGTGGGAGGTAAAGACGCAGCCCGAGTGTCAACACAACAATACTTCTCGACTCCCCACTTCTGGGAGTAGACGGCACTTTGATATTTTATTCATACGCGGTACAAAGTAGAGAAACCGCAGTGATAGAAGTCTCTGTGTGATTTATTGTGATAACACCGGAGCCCCAGGGCGACGTCACAAAATGAATACTAAGTGATTTACTGACGGGGAATACATTAAGAAATTTATGGCACCAAACCATTCACGCAGCTCCACCGAGGCCCCTCAGACCAAATCATGAGCCCCAAGTGGAACCACGTTTAAATCCACGATGTCCAGAATTTGATCAAGTCCCTTATGTTTTTAATTGTTTATTATTCCTAATAAATCAGGTCATTGTTAAAGAAAGTGATAAAACGTTCTGGCCTCCTCATTCAGATCCAGGAAATGTGATGGCTCCTTTCTGACCCCGACCACCGAGTTTGGTGGAAATCCTTCACAAACAACAACCAGGCCCCAATAAGAATGTATTTATTACCTCCTCCGAGAGGGTTATGTTTTCACCCCCGTCTGTTTGTTTGTCCACAGGATCACACACGAAACATGGGCCGAGGAAGAACTCATTTGATTTTGGAGTGTTTGTATGAATAGTGTAAGAATTTCTGTAGCCTTGTGTGAGTCTATGATACAGTTTAAGTTACCAAACACATTAATAATTAAGCTTAATGCGAAATAATCTATTCTTCATGTGTGGAAGTTCTGTAAACTTGCACTGAAGTAAAAAACACGAATGCAGAACTTTTCATTCTGATGGATTTCTTGTTTTATTCTTGTGTCAAAAGAATCTTGAAGAATTCTTCCAGCGTCACCGGCAGTGAAGTTATTTACGATGAGAGGAGGCGACAGGTGTTTCTGAGGCAGCGTTCCAGCCCCTTCTCTGTGTCACAGACCAGGTTTCCACTCAAATTACCAAACTACATTATAGATGAGGACGGCCCGGTGGCTCGGGACGACTGGGTCGGATCAAGAAGACGGTCAATTATCAATTATCAGCTCAGTGTGATAACTCTGAGTTTTCAAATGATGAAACTCACAAAACTAATTTAAAATGGCTGTTGACAATGACTCTTATGTTTGAATTCTTCTTACAAAATACTCATGAAATCAAGATCGTTCACTAATAAAATCTACTTTATAATAAATCTGTGATAATCGAATTTTGTCGAAAGCCGTAAAAACCAAAGTCCAGCTCTGTCTTACCTGTCGTCAGGTACGAGCTGCCACTGCCACGACCCCATCGCTCCACTCGTCTTCACCTCTTCTCATCACCGTCCACTTTTACCATCAAGCTCTCTCTCTTTCCTCTCCGATTGGCTGTTGCTAGGAGACGGACAAGCAGTCTCCGGTTTCCTCTTTGTGCAAACGCAGAAGCGTGTGCATCCACTCCTGACACTTTCCTCGGCCTTAGATCTGTGTGCTTTACACTTGACTCAACACTCGCTGTGTTTCACACGTCTGAGTTAATAAAGGAGGAAGACACGTAAATAAAAACTCTGTGTTTCACCCACGTCTCTGTGTGACCTCAGTTCTGCCTCTTTAATGAGCTGACAGCTGCAACTAACAGTTATTTACATGATTAGTTTAAATGAAGGATATTTTCTCAATTGATGAATTAAAGATTTAATTGCTAGAATATGGGAAAATGTTTAGTCTTGTAGTTTCATTTAATGTTTCAATTTGAGAAGCTTCTTTGTCAGTTCTCCTTTAAAAACATTTATCGACCGATTATCAGAAATGTTGCTGATTCATTTTCTGTTGATGGTCTAATTGATTAGCAGAATAATTATTTCTTACTTTAAATATCCCTTCATACGAGACTCTACAGGAGCTGCAGCTCATGATATTAGTTAATCATACATTCTTATGTTTTTATTCTCTTTAATATTAGAGTGAAAGTAAAAAATCTTTTTGTCCAGCCAATGGTTCAAAAGCCAAACA